TGTTTGCCTTCAACATAATGCAGATTGAATTTAAAACAAAAAATTAACTTTTACAAATCAATTAAACAAGAAAAAAATAATTCTTATTTCCTCATCAATTAAACAAATCAACTTTCAATGTAAAATTCAATTAAACAAGCAAAAAAAGTGTACCCAGACTGTTGTTTATGCACAAATACATCAATTTCACGCAGCTCACGTAGGAATAACCTGCAGAAACCAAACATTTGCTCAAACAACACTTTCTATAATCTAAAACCAACAAACAGAAAATTATTGAATTCTAGGTACTTAACCAAACATTTTCAAACCAACAAAGAGTATATATGTTAACAACACTTGCTCAAACTTACCAATTGTTTATGCAAACTTTCAGCACGCGGATGCAGGTAGGCAACATCTCGCATATATCGCTCGAGCCATAAAATGCCGAAACCATAAGCCTACTGCACCTCTATATGTATTGTGGGAGGTAGAAGGTGTTTACTTCCTTTCGTCAAACGCTCCAAGCACATGCATACAAGAGGACCACAATCCCCTCTGGCTCCCTCCGTTTGTTGTGGCGTGGTATCGTCTCTGATCATTGTAACTTTGAACTTTTTTGGCTTCTTGTTTCCAGATTTAGTCCAATAATCAATCGCGTCCAAGTATTTCGCCAAATGAGCGCTCCATCCCTTATAATATCTCTTAAATCAGACAATAGTATGTAATTCAACATGATGTCATATACCATTGTCTTCAGGGATGGGAGATGAAGCTCGACAAGAAGCCAATGACGACGTTCCAAAACAGGGATAAACACATGCAATCATAAATAATTGCACACATCAAATAAAATTTATGAAAACCTTTACAATATTCAAAAAATAAATACTAACCTTATCGACCTCCCACCACGCATGATAAAGTTTAGCTTTTCCATTACCCAACGTATATGAAGCATCTCTCGGATCCTTCAAGTGAGCTACGTGAAAAGACGTCGGCATAATAGTCCATCGAGTATTTCTTATTTTCCTCAATTTCCTTATTATTAGAAGACATGACAACATGCATCAATATGTTGTTTTATAAAAAAATACATATATTAGTGAATTTATTAATAATTTAAAAAAATTAATCAAAATGTAATATAAGAAGAATATAAGACTTACCACCCCTTCTAGATAGTCATTATCTTCAACCCTAATAAAATACCCCACCAAGACTGATCAAGAAACAAATGAATAACATCGTCGAGTTGGCATAGGTCAGAATAGTACCCCTTGCTCCGCTCATGTAGATAAAAATCAACTGCGGTCTTAGCTCAAAGGGTATATCCGTAATTGTGTCCGGTAGTGTTTCCCTCTCCTGCTGAGGAATGGTACTGGCCGGTAACACATACGAAAGCCAACTCATCCATCATATCGGGCACGGGAGGGGGTTTATCAATATGTCGACATATGACGCCATGTGAATCAGGCTCTTGAATGGCGGGCGGGACCTCTTGAACGATGACAGGGGCCTCTTGAACGGTAGGAGGGGCTTCTTCGATGATAAGAGGGGCCTCTTGAACGATAGGAGGCGCATCTTGAATGATGATAGGTGCATCGGGCTTCTTCTTACGGAGTCTTGGCACTAATGGGGTGAACGGAGACGTAATGGCACATGCACGACGTCTGATGCGTGAACCTCGTCGTGCAAGAAAAACCCGATGTAAAGCATCTACCTTATCGGGCCGCTGAAAATAAATTAATACATAAATCAGTAAATAAATAAATAAATAATGTCGAAAAAAGGTTATTTGCATTTTTAGTATAGTATTAAACAAATTTATCTCATTGTGTAGAGCATGAACCTCATTCTACAACGATGAAACAATCTCGCATAGAGCGGCAACCTCATCACGTAAAGTAGATACCTCACTACGTAGCGTATAATTGTCATCGCGTAAAAAATCCACCTCACCACGTAAAGACCGAACCTCATCACGCCATTCACCATTATCTTCACGTAAAGTATCGACCTCATGACGCAAAGCACCGACCTCATCACGTAACTCCCCTAACTCATCCCGTGGAGGTGGGAACAGGGAGATAAATATCGTAGCCTCTTTCCCGGTCGCCGATCATGAGGTGATGGTGGAGAAGAGTCTCGATGATGTGATGGAATAGGTGATGGTGGAGGTGGAGAAGAGGCTCGATCAGTTTATGGCTCCAGGTGTCGAGCTGTAGAATCGGCCCGATCAGGTGATGGCTCTCGAAGTAGGGGGTGCTCATCATCCGTCCCATCAAAAAACCGCTTACTAGCTTGCCACCAATCAGTGGCAAGCTCAGCCTCTGTGGGTGTCAGCCTCTGTAATGGATAGTTAGCCTCCTAACAATATAAAAGCTCAAACAAAGTTAAATTTGTACTAGTAATAACTTATTTATATATGGTATTATTTGTGTGTTAACTTACATCATTCATCATCGTATATGGGAGTAACTCTTCCCAATCCAACATGCGGATCCTCTTCCAGGTAATAGCCCTAGGAATATCATTTGATCTTTTTATCGCATATGTCTGCATGCTGGGGAAAACCTCAAATATCCAAATCTATAAATAATATAATACACAAACATTAGTAATTGTTAAATAATTAATTATAATTTTGGAAACATTATATAGAAATTTTTACCTTGAAGGCCCAATTAAAGCCTGTCAAAGTGTATTTAGAACCATCGCCCCACAAACTTTTTCGGTCCTCAAAGGCAGACGACAACTTCTTCCAGGTAGCTTTCCATAGATATGAAACCCACAGAAACAGGTTCCATGCATTTAGGTCCTCTACCAATAATATTAGGTCCTCATAGATAGGTTGTCTGCCCTCTTTGCCTAAAAAGTCGTTATGCAAAAGTAATAAATGGCATACTCTGACAACATCAAGGTCATCTATCAGAGTAAAACCATCTTTAACAAATAATCTCTTCAAGTCATCGACGTGTAAACTCGGCTTCGACTTTGCCAACTTAGGAAAAACCCGAGATAACCATGATAGGCGGGATATATGACTAGTGTACCGGGTTACTTCATCGTGTCCGAAGCGTAGACTAGTGATTAAGCAAAACTCCTCCCGCCCAAAACAAGTATACGCCGGTGCCGGAGGAAAATGAAACCATATCTCTTCATCACCACGTTGTATCCTCTCGGGTAGATCGTTAGTCATGGTATGAAGAAACAAATGTGTCAACATAGCATCTCCACCCGTATGTTGTTCTTTCAGCCATGGCCCGAAGCAAGTATCCTCAAACAATTTTCTTTGTAGAGGTGTAAGCGTCGACGCAATTTTAGTAGCTAGGCTTAATTTATTCCTTAAGGTCAATGCAACCGAAAAAAACTTCTACAAAAACTACAAATTATACACTATAAACAAACATGATATTAAACAGTGAAAACAAAGCCAAATATGTTTCAAACTAGCACGGTATTCACATGTTGTCATTATTCCATCATAGTTCACAAAATGCATCAAATAACATTCTAGAAGTAAGCATTATATAAACATTTAAAAGGACAACATATAGGTTTACTGCAGGTTCAAGGACAACATAAAGAGTAGTAGTTTATTCTTGAAACTTAAATTAGCAACACTGTGAAGTTAGTATTTGTCTTTGTTTTGTCTTTTTGTTGAAGTAATGCAATTCATTCAAGTTTCAATTTGCAGAATAAGAGTAGTTTCTGAAACTTAAATTCGCAACGCGAAAATGAAAATCACAACGCGAAACTAAAATCACGTTGCGATTTTCATTTTCGCGTTGCGATTTTGGTATTGCGATTTTCATTTTCGTGTTGCGAATTTAAGTTTCAAAAAATATTCTTCTGCAAATTTAAACTTGAATGAATTGTATTTCTTCAACAAAAAGACAAAATAAAGACAAATACTAACTTCACATGGTTAAAGACTAATAGTTTAGCAGTATTGGCAGCAACCAAATGAATTTACAAAGCAATCTCAGTGAAATTGTTAACCTTTATATATATTGAAATTACCAGTAAATTTATCATCAATATAAGAAAAATCTAATAATAATACAAAAATTTCAAAATAAAAATAAGAGATTAAAAAACTAACCTCGGTAGTTGATTTTCCATTTCTGACCGTGAATGGTTGTGAGGGTTGCTCTGAGAGATGAGATAGACAGATTTCGCCGGAAATGGGGAGGGATTTCGTCGGAGATGGGGACGGATGTCGCCGTAGAGAGTGAGAGATGGAGATGGGACTGAGTTGTGATTTAGGGTTTTATGTTATGATTTGCGATAATACTGTTTATTTATGTTGCAAATTAATATTGTATTTCGCGTTGCGAATTTGTCTCTCGCGTTGCGAATTTGACTTTTGTGTTACGAATTTGGCTATCGCGTTGCGAATTTGACTTTTGTGTTGCGAATTTGGCTATCGCGTTGCGAATTTGGCTATCGCGTTGCAGATTTGACTATCACGTTGCGAATTTGACTTCTGTGTTGCGATTTACAAATTCGCATTGCGATTTAAAGATTCGCGTTGCGAATTTAGAAAATCGCAATGCAATTTATATATTCGCGTTGCGAATTTGTTGGTCATTTTGACAAATCCAAAAAAAATTGGTTAAAATCATATATTATAAGACATTTTCGATCACTGAGGTTATTTTCTCTAGATTTTATTGTAATGGCTCCAATTTTCTAAATACAAAAGATCATGCAGCGTTGTCGACTATTTTCATTCTAGCCTCGCAGTGACGGAAATAATTATCAGCCTTTTTAAGTGTGATCAGAACATCTCTCATAAGGAATCTGGGTGCACTTACCGACGTTTTGCATGCTTCATATGCACTAACCAACTAATTATTAAAAAAAATTAGTTATTCGAATCATATTTTATAACTCAAATTTTATTTGAACTATTTTTTAGTATAGTCAAATCAAACTTTTTAGTATCAAGTTGAGTCGAAAAAATTGATTTTGTTTCAGTCGAATATACTTTTACTCACACCTATTTGTGCTAAAGAAAAACCAAGGAATCGAGTTTTTTTTCTTTCTTCTAAATCAACCAAACAATTGCATTGTCATACAAATGTGACTCAAAAGAATTATCAAAGTCTTACAATGCTCTCTTGTCCAATACTATGCCATCACCATGCCCATCCTTCCTCTCCCCTACTCGCTTCTTCCATTTTGGAGCATTTGTAGATTAAGCTTCAATGGATCCACACAAAAAAAAATGAAAAGAATCGACAATTATCTGGAAACTACATGTACATATGCACCAAACCTCTTTAGCATCCAGCTGCTTTCAAGAACTTGTCGTAAGGACTTGAGGGTGGTAATTTGAAAGAATGTTGCCCGTATTCTAGTGCACAAAGGGCAAGTTGTCCCCTTCCATGAGCTTGCTCCTTCCCAATTACCTTCAGGTCTTCATAAAGCTCTACTTCCTAATGTAGGAAAAGAATAGCCCACCAAAGATATTATTATTGGTGGCATCAAATATTATCAAGGGTAAACTACATATTTAGTCACTCACCTATTCTCGTTGTTCCGTTTTAGTCGCCCAACTTTTTTTTTCTTTTCAAAAGCATATCTAACATTATGTTTTGGTTCTGTTTTGGTCACCTCCCGTTGTAAAATAAACAGAGATGCTAATGTGGCAATTTTTTACTTTTTCAATGATGATGTGGCATTACCTTTAAGGTAACACGTCAGCATCACCGTTAAGTTTTTAACAGAAGGTGACCAAAATGGAACTGCAGGAATAGGTGGGTGACTAAATACATAGTTTTCCCTATTATCAATGGTATTGAGAGGTGATGATTCAGGTTATGCTTTGGCTTAGGGAAGAATGCAGATGGATCTAAAACATCAATACAGATGCTTGTCATATGTTTAAAGACCAACTCACCATATTCGGTAAACAGAGGACCTCGTTTTTGTTTTCCTCCAGGGTTGCCTTGCCATCCTGTTGATGCTTGAAGCTATGAAGCACTGACATCTTTTGTTGTTTGCCGATTACAAGAGCTTCACACTGACTCCTCATCTGGTCATAAGGAATGGGTGTGGCCGAAATGGAAAAGCTTGCGACTTGCCGTGCCGTTTCCAGAACCTATGACAAACAAATCAGTATAATTTGTGAGAAAATGTAGTTTAGCTCTTTGTACACAACAGCTAGGAACAAATTCAATTGCTCAATAAGATGGATTAAATGATTTTTCTCTCCTCTGACTTCAATTTCAACTAGGAAGGTTGGTTAGAGTTCTAAAAACAACAAAACTTATTGCATGATAAAAGGTACAAAGATGCACAGATTACATTGAAGAGTTGAAACTCGTTTGATTTGGCTAAACCCCATTTATCAGTTTGTGATATGAATTAATATGTTATATCATATGCACTTCGCATTTTCAGACAATATTTAAGGCTTGGAAAACAGAAATGATCTTAGCAGAATCTCAAGAAAAAGCAAAAGCTTAATACATTCAAAATTTCAGTATCATATAGCAAAACCTTATCAATTTTCCTAAAATGAAATTTTTAAATTTCACCAGAATCCAACAAAAACGTAGCCTCTACCTTTTTAAGATTTTATAGACCATATGAACTCAGATGAAGAGAGACAGAGAGGCCTACGGAATCCAAATTTTATACTATCCAGATAGTTCTTATAGACTCTACCTAAGGAGTTAAGACATATTATCTTTTTGCAGTTTTAATGTTTCCAAAGTCATTGAGAAATTATACTTTATATCATTATAGATATAAAGAACTGATCATCTTACCGAATCCAAAAGTTCATTGACACTTAAAACATCTAGTGTACTGAGAGATTGAGATGCTTTGCGATCTGACTGACTTCCATTGGCTTCAGGGAAGGCTTCATCATCTGTTATTGTGGCTAGAGGCAAAATCTGGAAGAAAATAAAAACCAAGTCAACCAAACTCATTGTATTATAGGATACGATGTAATCCAGGTATGATCTACCTCTTCAAATGGCTGAAACTCTATTTGTGCAAGAGGAGAACATGGTCTTGGTGTCTCCATAAACAATGGAGCACCAAATGGGTATGCATCGTCTGGTGAAAAGCCCTCACGAATTTGTTTCTTAACACTTGACAACTCATCCTATAAGAAGCAGAAAAAGGTTGATAAGAATCTTGTTTGCTACCAAGCTCCAATAAATTCTATTAATTCCTTTTCAAAAGAAATATGGAACAACTTAGTAACATGCAACACCTATTTGTTACAACTCAAAATGCCCTTACAAAAGCATTGACAATTAAAATCACTATTACCCTTTACAAGCCACACAACTGAACAAGGGGGAGGGGGCAGCAATCCACTGATAACATTACTCCTAGTCCAAACTACACTCTGTTTTATGATGATTCTTTCTATTAGTTAACAAATAGCTGCTCTGCTCACAACCAAAATCTTTCATATAAAAGGTTTGTTAAATGAAGAACCTTAAATATCTAAGAACATAAGTTCCGCAAGTTCATCACTAAAAGAAAAAAAATCTACGCCAATGAAACTTATAATGTTACTCAAAACAAGAAAAAAATAATCACCCTCTGATAGTAGATACTTATCACTGTCCATACCATGGTTATCAAAACCGGACCGGACCGGCCGGTTGAACCGCGAACCTGTGGCATGTCCGGTCCGGTTACCTCACAAAATCGGGCTGGCAATGAACCGGCTGAAAACCGGTAAAACCGGGGTGAAACGGCTGAAAACCGGCAAAACCGGTTTGAACCGCCGGTTCACTTTTTTTCTTTTAAAAAAAAATTAAACCAAACGAACTTCGTTTGTTCAACGAGCCAAGTTAATTTCGAGTATTGCTGAGCTCGACTCGAACTCGAAAACTTTAAAAGTAAGCTCAACTCGACTCAAAAACTCACGAGCTAAAAATTATCAAGTTCAACTCGAACTCAAAATATAATATTAAAACTTGAACTCGAAAAGGCTCGAACTCAAAAAAAATTTAGAAGTTCGATTGAAGCCTAAAATTTGAGCTCAATTGAAGCAAAAGAATAGTTTGCTGTGTGCTCACCAAAAGGCTCCATGATTTTGAATGTCAAATTACCTCTATTATTTATAGAAGTAAGTTGGGATGCTCTTCTATGTTTCTTAGCCATGTGGGATTGTTTTGTTCTCATATTTTTTCTCTTTAAACTTTTGGGATGCTCTTCTATGTTTCTTAGCCATGTGGGATTGTTTTGTTTTTTTAAATTAAACCAAATGACATCATTTGTTATGATTTTTTAAGCCCCAATTTTATTTTTTTGATTATAGTTATATAATTATATTTATTATTTAATATGTTTTACCTTAAATATTATGTTGTAGTTGATTTGAATCATTTTGTTTCACTTGATTTTATGATTTTTAATTTATATATGTTATGACTTGTGATATTTTTATACCTTTTAATATTGTAAACTTAAAAAAAGTGTTACATATATATTAATATTTCTTTGAATATTATGTAAAATTAAAAAAAATATTATTTTATATAAAATCCGGTTCAACCACGGTTGAACCAGTGAACCAGTACTTCACCGGTTCAATGTCCGGTCCGGTTTTAAAAACATTGGTCCATACAGCTAGGGGAGATGGCAGAGTATAAACCTTAAAACAATAATAAAAAATTGATACATTACCTCAGAAAATTTGTCAAATTTAGTCATGAAATGAGAAATGACTGTCTCCTTCAAATGAAGATCATCTAGCTCTATTGCCAAGAAAGTTTTTACTCCTAGTTCAAACTACACTCTGTTTTATGATGATTCTTTCTATTAGTTAACAAATAGCTGCTCTGCTCACAACCAAAATCTTTCATATAAAAGGTTTGTTAAATGAAGAACCTTAAATATCTAAGAACACAAGTTCCGCAAGTTCATCACTAAAAGAAAAAAAAAATCTACGCCAACGAAACTTATAATGTTACTCAAAACAAGAAAAAAATAATCACCCTCTGATAGTAGATACTTATCACTGTCCATACTGCTAGGGGAGATTGCAGAGTATAAACCTTAAAACAATAATAAAAAATTGATACATTACCTCAGAAAATTTGTCAAATTTAGTCATGAAATGAGAAACGACTGTCTCCTTCAAATGAAGATCATCTAGCTCTATTGCCAAGAAAGTTTTTACTCCTAGTCCAAACTACACTCTGTTTTATGATGATTCTTTCTATTAGTTAACAAATAGCTGCTCTGCTCACAACCAAAATCTTTCATATAAAAGGTTTGTTAAATGAAGAACCTTAAATATCTAAGAACATAAGTTCCGCAAGTTCATCACTAAAAGAAAAAAAAATCTACGCCAATGAAACTTATAATGTTACTCAAAACAAGAAAAAAATAATCACCCTCTGATAGTAGATACTTATCACTATCCATACCATGGTTATCAAAAACCGGACCGGACCGGCCGGTTCAACCGGTTGAACCGTGAACCGGTGGCATGTCTGGTCCGGTTACCTCACAAAACCGGGTGGCAATAACCGGCTGAAAACCGGTAGAACCGGCTGAAAACCGGTAAAACCGGGGTGAAACGGCTGAAAACCTGCAAAATCGGTTTGAAACGCCGGTTCACTTTTTTTCTTTTAAAAAAAAATTAAACCAAACGACGTCGTTTGTTCAACGAGCCAAGTCAAATTCGAGTATTGTTGAGCTCGACTCGAACTCGAAAACTTTAAAAGTAAGCTCAACTCGACTCAAAAACTCACGAGCTAAAAATTATCAAGTTCAACTCGAACTCAAATATAATATTAAAACTTGAACTCAAAAAGGCTCGAACTCAAAAAAAAAATTAGAAGTTCGATTGAAGCCTAAAATTTGAGCTCAATTGAAGCAAAAGAATAGTTTGTTGTGTGCTCACCAAAAGGCTCCATGATTTTGAATGTCAAATTACCTCTATTATTTATAGAAGTAAGTTGGGATGCTCTTCTATGTTTCTTAGCCATGTGGGATTGTTTTTTTTATAAAAAAAAATTAAACCAAATGACATCATTTGTTATGATTTTTTAAGCCCCAATTTTATTTTTTTGATTATAGTTATATAATTATATTTATTATTTAATATGTTTTACCTTAAATATTATGTTGTAGTTGATTTGAATCATTTTGTTTCACTTGATTTTATGGTTTTTTTTATAGGAATGAAAGGCCTCGTTAAAAACCCCCTTCTTAAATTAAAGACCTTGAAGAAAGGTCGTTAATCATAGGAAGGAGGAAAAGAGTGCCTTGGAACTTTTATTAATATTGAACATTACATAAAAGTTAAAAATAGCACTAAATTGCTTGACATAAGACTTAAACACTCCTCCTCCCAACATAAAACCTACACACTTGGTCAAGAAAACCACAAATAGACCCTTACAATCAACCTATCCCTTTCTTTGCTAAGCTATCTGCCTCTCCGTTACACTTGATTTTATGGTTTTTAATTTATATATGTTATGACTTGTGATATTTTTATACCTTTTAATATTGTAAACTTAAAAAAAGTGTTACATATATATTAATATTTCTTTGAATATTATGTAAAATTAAAAAAAAAATTATTTTATATAAAATCCGGTTCAATCGCGGTTGAACCCGGTTGAACCAGTACCTTCACCGGTTCAATGTCCGGTCCGGTTTTAAAAACATTGGTCCATACAGCTAGGGGAGATGGCAGAGTATAAACCTTAAAACAATAATAAAAAATTGATACATTACCTCAGAAAATTTGTCAAATTTAGTCATGAAATGAGAAATGACTGTCTCCTTCAAATGAAGATCATCTAGCTCTATTGCCAAGAAAGTTTTTACTCCTAGTCCAAACTACACTCTGTTTTATGATGATTCTTTCTATTAGTTAACAAATAGCTTCTCTGCTAACAACCAAAATCTTTCATATAAAAGGTTTGTTAAATGAAGAACCTTAAATATCTAAGAACATAAGTCCGCAAGTTCATCACTAAAAGAAAAAAATCTACGCCAATGAAACTTATAATGTTACTCAAAACAAGAAAAAAATAATCACCCTCTGATAGTAGATACTTATCACTGTCCATACAGCTAGGGGAGATGGCAGAGTATAAACCTTAAAACAATAATAAAAAATTGATACATTACCTCAGAAAATTTGTCAAATTTAGTCATAAAATGAGAAATGACTGTCTCCTTCAAATGAAGATCATCTAGCTCTATTGCCAAGAAAGTTTTTACTCCTAGTCCAAACTACACTCTGTTTTATGATGATTCTTTCTATTAGTTAACAAATAGCTGCTCTGCTCACAACCAAAATCTTTCATATAAAAGGTTTGTTAAATGAAGAACCTTAAATATCTAAGAACATAAGTTCCGCAAGTTCATCACTAAAAGAAAAAAATCTACGCCAATGAAACTTATAATGTTACTCAAAACAAGAAAAAAATAATCACCCTCTGATAGTAGATACTTATCACTGTCCATACAGCTAGGGGAGATGGCAGAGTATAAACCTTAAAACAATAATAAAAAATTGATAGATTACCTCAGAAAATTTGTCAAATTTAGTCATGAAATGAGAAATGACTGTCTCCTTCAAATGAAGATCATCTAGCTCTATTGCCAAGAAAGTTTTTGATGCAGCAGCATCATCTTCCTTTGACCCATATGCTACACTGTCCACATCAGACTTCACATGCACAGCCTGGAGTCTCATATCCTCAATTAATTTGAGATAAGGATCAACCTGTGTGAATGGTGATAGAATCAAGTATCAGAATGTCGGAAAAGATAGTAAACCGCTGTATCAATATAAATAACCTTCTGATATACATTAAGGATAAGAAACTGACTGTTTGATCTGTCAGAGATGCTTTAACAATAGGTATTAATTCTGGAAGATTGCCTGCCCTGGCTGAGAAAATAAGCATGTAGGATGCCAAGGTAAATAGAGACCTTCTGCGAGATGGTTGCAAAACTCCTTCAACATGCATGCAAGACACAGATGTCAGGAGAAGTTTTCACCAAATTGAACAAGCACCCAACCCAAAACAATATGGTAAAAGGTGAAGAGCTCTGAGTTTAATAAAAGATTAAATGCAATCCACCAACCACCATTTAATCACAGTGAGATAACTCATAACGAATAGGTGAAGACAGAGGAGCCTATATTACAAACTGGATCTGAATGTTTATTGCCCACATAAAGTCTATTACATATATCCTATTTATGAACAATACAAAAAAGATATAAGAGAAATCTACATTTATTACCAAAAGTTAAAGCAATTACATCAGTATTCAAAGCTAGGAAATCTTCAATGAATCACCTATAATTCAGCCAACATTAATTTAGCTAGAATAAATATCTAGAGTCAAGACAACAATTAGAATAAACTTTTTGAGCCAAAGTTTCTTTCTGATGTTTCTTGAGATGGGATGGAAGAAACATTGAAGCGTCGCAAACACAATCATGGAGTGTATGGAGTAATCCTGCCCGTGAGGCTTCCAAGTGACAAAATGGACAAAGGGCATAATTCTACAGCTTATATACATACAGCACTAAGTTCTTTCACCGTATCATAAAAAAAACCACCAATACTAATAGATGTAACACACCTTCTTGATCCAGAGAGATGCTCCTCAGGGAGAATGCCAACTGAAAACTCCGAACTAGTGCAATGTGACTGGAGGTCTATCATCAGAAAATTAATCAATAGAGCAGTTCAGACATAGATACCAAATAGAAAGAAAACCTCTAATAGTATTAAAATATATTTAATAAATTTCCAGGCAAATGCAAAAGAAAAGAGGAATCTTCTTAACAAAATATCCAGGAAATCCCTCTTAGAAAGTCAAGATAAGATCCAAATTCTATCACAGTCCAGTTATTGGCCCATGGCACATCTCACCGCAGAAACAAGTTGAATATTGGGACGGTTCTAGTGGGAGGGAGCAAAGTGCCCAAGAGTGCTCATGAAAGATTTGAAGGCTGGAGTTTGAAGTCGGTTTATTCTTATTTTCTGTTTCTTTCTTTTAGATTATGGCTGTTGTAGTTTACAGGTGCTACTTGTGCCTCGGGATTTCCCAGTTTCTTCTCTCAGGATGTTTCTTTCAGTTTGTATTCATTGGCTAGGGTGCACTCTTTTTCTTCCATTTAGGCTTAGGGAGGTTTTTTAATGAGGCCCCTACCAATGCTTTTATCTTTGTTTCGAATAAAACTTACTTTTCAGAAGAAAAAAAAAGGTGCAGGCAACATAAAGGTTGACATTATTATCTCACTTTGAGTTTTATAGATAATGGTAGATGGTGCTGACAACTAGAAAGAGACAAGATACTAAAGGGAGTCGGCATTATGATTTGGTCTGTCTACATTCATGAAAAACCACCACAGTGAGAACTAGAACTTCTAAATATTTCAAAAGCACATTTCTATTATCAAATTAAGCACAATCAGAAATAGCAGACACTATAAAACAAATAAATAAGATGTTCATTCATCTATTGTGGGTTCTTCCAAAATGTTTGTCAATCACCAAGAGTAAAACATTTTCCAATTTCACTATCCTACCCTTTTTTTCGTATCATACATCATCACCAAAAACAAAGTAAAATCAATAAAAAAGAGTAAGGTAGTATCATAAACAACTAATACTTCTTAAACCTTGTGCGTCAATAAAGGTAATTGATATTTTAGAAGGCAGCATAAAAGTTAATTTTTTTTTCTCTTTTTTGAGAGTAAGCCAGCATAAAAAATATTTACCTTGGATTGGGTAAACAATATTGCAAGATAGAAGGAACGGGCCATAGCCTCAAAATTTGCAGGAGTATTATCAGTGGAATTCGCCTGGACCCATACTGATGAAAGAAGAAGACTCACTTGATGGCTGCTTAATCGAAGGGAAGACAGCTGCTGAAAAATTCACACACGTATGAAAACCAAATAGTATATGAATCGATAGTAACACCAAACAACAGAAAGACAACAATTCCATAACATTTTTCATTCATCCAGAGCATGCTTGAAACTAAATGAGTTCCCATGGTACTGACACATTATTAACAATTGATTTCCATTTTCTTAAAGTCTTCCATAAATGAGTTCTGCTTGGTACCTTCATCCTGAAAGGATAAGCTGTGACTACTTACCTTCACAGTTGCACTAATCGATAAGTCATAAGAAACAGCCTCAGAAGTTTTCTTATTTTGAACTGACAAAGGCGAAAGCAAGGATGGCATAAGCACAATGGAGAAAATTTTGTGTGCTCCAACTCGAGTTTCATGGTCTGGATGGGACATTGCATGGAGCAACTGGTGAAAAAGAGCATCAGGGAAGGTCTGGAACAGATTAAAATATCAGGACTTAGTTGCATGTGCAAGATAAGAAAGAACATAACAGCATATTATTACCCGAGAATACTTGCCTTCTTGTGATATGATATGTTAGGGATGGAAGAGATGATTTCTGCTGTTCGTTGAACAGCAGAAATTGTTGTTCTTGCAACAATACTGTTGGTCGAAATATTCTCTAGTACCACAGCCATCATATCAAGAATTGGTCCCACATCCCCAACCTGTTAAATACATACAGAAAAAGAGTTCAACTAAATGGATAAGAATAATATTAATATATAATAATAATAATAACTAGCTTCTCAAAGTATCTTAAGATAATTAGATTAAATTAGAACTCAGATGTATACAAGGCATTTTCCCAACCTTATTTGAGAGCTCTGAAATACACTTTTCGAAGCCCAACAGAAGATCAGTGTTATATTTATCATGATCACCCCTAGAAGATGATAATTCAGCTGAATTTTGCAGGCACTTTCGTAAATGCTTCACCAAGTCAGCTATTGTACCGATGACTGCCGATGAGGGCTGAAGCTTTGCATTTTTTGTAAGTTGATTTATGACATTTACAATGTTAACTTGTATATGAGGTTGCTTGGCTACATTCTTATGCTCCATGTGCTTCACCAAGATCGCCAAGAGTTGGTCAGACATTTGTCCTGTCATTAAAAAATAAATACCTTTATACCTACAAAATATATATCAGAAAAAGCATATATTAAGGATTCATGCTAAAACTTCCCAAGTAACCTGTTTCTTCCATTACAAGCTGCAAGTACATTAGAAGAGACAAAGCAACTCCCTTCTCTTGGGACCAGTGATTTTCAGCATCAAAATTATGAAAAAGAGGTTCAAGAACACGCCGGATAGTTGTTGCTTCTTTTGCCAATCTGGCTATATTACGCAAGATAATCCTTGACCAGTAAGAGGGACTCTTGGAAGTATCACTGATAAATATCCAAATGGAGCAAACAATTATATTTGGACATATGATAAAATTATCCTAATGAAATGAATGCATAAAAAATGAAGCCTTAGCGGTTGGCTCGAAGTCTGATTTAATTAAAAGGTTTGGTACAGACAATGCCTTCTCATTGATATCCGGGACGGACAAACCAATTTCACCCACTTTACTTCCATCAGCAGAGGACATTTGGAAGTCCATGTAGTTCTCCATTGTTACTGATATGATCTATAAAAGATGGAAAAATAATTTAAGATGATCAAAATGGCCAATACCTATTGCTCATTTGCTTGTCTAGTGCGCGCTTTATAATATCTAGAAGGAAATTCAAGAGGCTAAAGCTGAAACTCCAAAATAAAACTGAAAGAAACAGATTGAGAGATTATCCAAAATTTTGGGCAGACAATAATATACTTCTCGATAAACATTTCAAAGCTCTGTTTCATTCTTTCCAATGAAGCTCAGTTGGTTAAAAGAGAATTATTTCAATATTTTTTAAGAAGTTTACAGCCAGGACTAAAATATACTTGGTTATATTTGCACAGTCAAACTGTATCAGATCAGAAATGCATCAAACTTTGAAGAAAAAAGTGCATTGACAGGAAAGCCACCATAAGAAGTGATAACTTACACTATCAAAGTCCATTGATATATGAGAGTGTTCACCCATAAAGAAGACCTAGGCAGAAGGAATGAGAAAGAAGTAAGGGACCAGACTTGGAAGTCGAAGTAAAAAAATACCGAATGAGAAAAATGTACAACAAAAAAATAAGCAATGTTAACAAATAAAATAACTGAAAAGAATTATTTAAAAAGAAAAAGTACATGAAAAGAGAACCAGGAATCAATCTGATTTGTAAGGAATTGGAAACTAACTCATATTTTGCAAAATACGGTTATTTACAGGTTGACCAAAACAAAAGCACACTTGATAGCCCCTTTGAAAACAAAATTTAGCCACTATATTCCCCTACAGTCAATATAGAAGTGATTTCAATCATATATAAGAAAAGGTCTCTAAAATTTCAATTGTTTGAACTATTAACTAGTCTACGAGCTTATCCTATATTATAAAACACAATGCAGAAAAAGCCAAGCCTCTTTCCGTTAAAACATATTGCAATAGTTTTGAAGAATGCCTTCTAACAGAGAATATGGACTGTTGCATAAAGGTAGAAAAGGCAGAAGCTACTTGAAAATATTTAAATAAGCTGTATAATAATCTTGCCGAGCCATAATTTTATTAACTGCTGGACAGTAGTCATTGCCAGTAACTGAACCACCAAATTCATTTTGGAAACACGTCTTTCAAGTACGAAAATTGTGAAGGAAATGACTGGAAAGACATGCACACAAAATCCAGCAAGTATTAGATACAAGAAATAATGGAGAAAATAGAAAACAATTAATGGTTTGAATATGCATGCACATGTCATAAAGAAGAAAAGTTATGGCTACTTAAAAAAATTGTCTGAGCTAATGTAAGTGCATTCAATATTTTGGACAAAAGAGTTACTTTTGCAACAACAAAAAAATCTAGAGAGAATACAACCATGGAAGCCAGAACTTGCAATCCTGCTGAACGTAAACACAAAGCTCTGTTATCATCTCCATCTTCTTCAGCCAGCTGACAAAGTTTAGGAATAAGGCCCTCTAATTGGAACATATGTGTGCCATCCATCTGGTTTTAAATCCCACAGAATTAGAAAAAAATTGCTAGTTATAGCTGAATGTAAAGCATTCTGTCTCTAGTCTATTTGCAATCTAAAGCCAAGAAATGAACTGTTATATAATCAATCAGCAGGTCCAAATCCAGTAAGTAGTCTACAGCAAAAACTTAAAAAGCCCAGTGATGGAAACCTTTAAATTTCAAAGGGCTATTTAGCAACCCGAGCCAAACCTGTATGTATTACTCGCATATCAGTTTGACTACACACCTGACAATTTATGAAATCTACAAGAGCATTGCAACCCAAAATTCGCATTTCATCCTGTCGAGTTTGCTCCAAAAGAGTCCGAATGATCCCTAATAAACTACAAGCAAAAAGTGGCCTGCAAGAATAAAGTGCTCCTATGAATGTTGCACAAAAAATATAGATACATCACATTAACACTTAAAAGTTAAAGCATAAGCTGAGGTAAATTAAAACAATGAAGATAATAAAAAATACCATATTAATTCTCTACATACTAAAAATTAAAATTGAATCTGAGGAAATAGACAAAATTGCTAGAGATAATTTTCTAAACAATTTAATCTTTCACTACGCGTGATCTTGTCCAGCATTGTAAACCCCGTTAATTTTTTATGCAAAATTAAGATTAATTTTTAATTAACAATCTACTCAAAATTTTAGTTGGCATGTCAAAGAAAGAACTTCTAAGGAAGCATCATCACTGTTGCAGTATAATCTCACTAAACATAAAAACAATATATTATTATTTATTGAACATGTGTACCTATTGAATTGTTAAAATAAAAAAATATATATCTTTATATAATCAGCATTCTTGAGATGCAACCAAAGACAATTTGAAACAAATGATAAAAAAGAAAGTAATTAGATCATAAATTAAAAAGTAGTTATCTTTCAAAGTTCAACCCCTGCAAGAATTTAATCCCGCAACACAAGCCCCTTCAACAATTATGTGACAATAACAAGCCAAATATTATGCTCTACCAAAGATTTAGTTATTTAAGTCAATGGTTCATTCTTTAAAACTCCCCTGCTCCAAGCTGCTCACCCCCAGATGAAACATTTCCAGAAATTTTATGCCAAAAAATTTATACCATTAGATGTTAATATTTCAACAAATCAAACTTACATCTGCTCCTTACAGGATGATAGCAGTTTCCTATAAATGCACAATATGGTTTTCACACATCCAAAGTTCTCATTCCGTAAATCCTTGAAGCATCTTTGTTCTAGATTACTTGTAATCTGTGCAGACAAATTGTTTAAAGAAGTGAAAGAAAAATCAATAAGCATTTCAGTAAAGTTATATATATTTCACAATATAGTCAATTTCAAACTAATTTCGAACACATCAAGGATACTTCAATAAATTTGAATTTTTCCAAGATTTATACCAATTAAAAATTTGCAATCGGTTTTGAGCATTTCATGACAAAATTACCAACATTGTAGAAAATATTTGCATACCACCTCCTTTTAACTAATATAAAAGAATCATTTTAAAAGCAAGATTGAATCGTAAACAACTAGAAGATATAAAACATCACTAAGTTTATTATTACAGAACCCATTAGAAAAGAAGTAGACATGTTCGCACTTACAAGTGTTGTATTTTTTCACTTAAATTAGCAGAGATAAGTATCTTTATATATATATAGTGGAAACTAACATTACAAACAGAAAATTAAAATTTGAGAAATTCCATGTTATAATCAAATTCTTCCAATAATAAATGAACAAAAGAAAAGCAATAATACCTCCGGTATTCTTAATGGGTTCCTCGAAGCATATTCACAGAGCTTAGCGATTTTCCTATCATTCGGCTCAGCATCCTGTCAAATAAAAAATAATTGGAAAAATTTTAAGCATATCAGAATGAGGGGATATGATACCCTTCAAGAAACCTAAAGACCATTTCTAGAAGCACATGAATGCCTTACTTCCCAAATATAAGAAAAAAGTAATGCCAATAGTGCCACTTCTTCCTCAACGTTCAACAATATCTAATACCACGGACATTAGAAACTTATGCAGCCAAAAGCAAAATAGAAGCAGCAGTGTAGAAGTAGATCTTATGAACATTTTATCCTTCTGTGAACTTCACAACCTAAAATCTATTTCATGTTTTGAAGTCACCAATTAAACTGAATTTAATACAAACAAACAATCATCCATTACTAAGAAAAGGAACAAGCTAGACTAACACCCCTATGCAATTTTTCACTATAAGAATCAAACATTAACAAAATAGCTAGTAAAGAAGTTCCCAAAATCAAGTAAAAATTGACAGTAGATGAGCTGACAATTACCTGATTACGGGGGAAAATTTCAGCTAGCAGCTTCTTGTATCTTTTAACAGGCTGTCTTGATCTTGCACGCATCGAAGGGCAGAAGAAACAGAGGTTACCGCAGGCGGGCACAACCCGTCTCGACATTACCCCCATTTTTTCAAGGAAATTCAAGTACACGCTTATCTGAAAATCCAAATTAACGCGAAAAAAAGGAAAATCAACTAAAAATACTAAACAACAATCCCAAGAACATCAATAAAACATGCCAATTTACTCATTGATCACAACGTTCAGACTTAGAACAACTCTAGAAACAAAAAACATTAACTAAATTTCTATCATGTCTCAAGTCAGAATCAGCAAAATTTAAGTCCATCAAACTTCTAATTTCAGCAAAACAATTCAATATTAGAAACTAAAACCAAAGCGAACTGGCCAAAACTGAGAAATAAGCAAATAAACCCACCAATTGAAATCTTAATCTACTAAAAGAAAACTAGCTCGAGAGATCCCCCGATCTGGCTTATCCCTGACGGTTCAACGAATATAGTTCCAGAAATTTTATTTTTATTTTTATTTTTCAAAAGAAAAGTCCAACTCATTGATCATTCTACTAGTTTTTAACGCAATGCTACTTAAGTTTTAATCAAACATATAATTATTTTGAATAGTCTATAAGGCGAATGCAACTAATTTAATATTTTCAATTTAAAAAATAAAATATTTTTAAAATAATTATTATTTTTAACCTAAATTAAATTAAATTACTATGAAAATCTTATAAACATGTTTTTCATCTAATTTTTTTAACTGAGATGATATTACTAAGTAAAATAGTATTAAATTGAAATATATATTATAAAAATAATATTAAATAAAAATTGTTCTACATCAATAAATTTACTCTAAAAATTAAATTATCAAACAATTATGAAATAGTAAAAAGTTATCTAAATATTTTTGGTCATACATATAAATTTCAAGTAATATGTTTCAATAATTTTACGTAAAATTTCTTATTTTTAACCTCTTAATATTGAACACTTACATTCTCGACATTCTCAGTGCTCAAACTAGTTCTTAAGGAACAATAACAATTCTTTTACTACGGATGCCACTTTAATTCATAGAACTTAAAATTCTTAAATGCGCGGAACATTTAAATTCAATATATATATATATAATTTATATATTTATATTTTAATTAAGTTTTTTTATTATTTAAGTTATATCAATTGTAAGATTGAGGTCATGAGATTTAAAAATATTTTAAATTTGAGTATTATCATATAAATTTACGTTCATATGAATCTATCAATTGGTTTCAGTAGTATAAGGAAATGTTATATTTCTAAAAGTTTTGCTTTCGAGCAGCGACGTATACAATATATGTGTGCATTAAATTATTATTTTTTGAATATATATTACTTTATAATCAACAAACTATTAAAAAATTACGTTCGCAAAAATTCTAGTCCAATTGTTTTGTATGAATTTATATTTAAACTATTTTGATCGAGGTGAAGGTCTGATAAACTTTTAATATACTTGGATTACACTAATTAATTTTGATTATATATAAATTATGATTGATTGTGCTTGCACTTATTGTCTTTATAATTGTAATTGTGCTATGCATTCTCTTAGAAAAACCATCATCATCCGTGCAAAAGTGTATTCTCCTTAGAAAAATCGTACGAGCCAAATTACCTAAGTGGTTAAAAGAATAATTGTTATTTTTAGAGATTACGGGTTCGAGTACCAACAACTATAGTAAGAGTGATTGAGTGTTCATTATCAAATGATTGAGAATATTTGAAACAAATATTACGTTATAATCACCTCAAATTAATAAAAAAAAAATTCATCATAATTCGGTGCCCACCTAAAATTTTATTTATACTCACATATAAAAATTTCTATTATTACTATATAAGTGGCCAGAGGTGTGAGCGTTCAAATATCAAATGATTGAGAGTTATTTTAAACAGATATGTCTTTTACTCACTCCAAATTAATAAAAAAAAGTACGGTTTAAAAAAACAATAGTTAAATAACTAAAATAAAACCGTAAATTTAAATGGATGACTATATACAAAATTTACCCAAATATCTTTTTGTTCTTATCGAGACTTCCAACAATTATCTTTTGAGGTTAAAAAAGAAAGACGCCCTTTACCAACCAAACTACCATAAATTTTATAATTATTAGTAATATAATATTGAATTAGAATTCTCGGGCAAAATTGCCCAAAAATGTTTTGGAAAATAAAATTTGGATGTCCCTTGTTTCCATATGTAATGGGGTAAGGGGAGATAAGATAGTAGGCTGCCCCCAACACCAGATTGAAAGCAGCTTTCATAGAAGACCTCCGAATTATGAAATGCCCTCCGTGAGACTCGATCTCACGACCTCAATGTTAAGAACCTTGTGTTCTACCAACTGAGTTGGATAGTTATCTCTTTTGGATAATAAAATAATCTTATATAAGGGGCCAGAAAAAATATTTTTTTCATAAGATTCACTGTTAAAATATTTTATTATTAAAGAAGCATATCATTTAAGGACTTTAAATAGATATATAAATCATCTGGCGACTTTATAAAGATGCATGGATCATAAGATAGTTTTTCTTCGAATACATGCATACTTGAAAATAAATGTGGTTACTATTTTCATTGGAATTTGAAAAGAAACAAAGGAATAGAAAGAAATTTCTCATTTTAAAATGTACACTAGTCAGCTTCTGTTTTTTTCGGTTGAAGGATCAAAATGTAATTAAGTTATAATACAAGGACTGTCAGGATACTTTACCATCATTTAATTCTTATAGTATGTGATTCATTTAGATTTACTCTAAAAAAGTGCATCGATCATCTGACGACTTTATAAAAATGTAGTCGTAATTTTAAACTTGATCTCTTTTTTGACCTCGAAATTATATGTTTTCTGTCAAATTAAATCAATTGACAATAAATAATATATTTTTAATATTTTATAGTTTTTCACATTTTATAGTTTTTTTTTATAAAAGTTTATAATTTTAAATATTTTTATGATTTATTTTTCAAAATATTTTCTAATAATTAAAATATTATGTATGAAATATTAATATTAAAAAAGTAAAATAATTAACATCAAATTAAGAAATTTATTATTTTCAAAATACTCAGATAAGCGGTGTTTTTAGCTTTACACGTAATACAATCATGTTATTGTCTATACATGAACACATGTTCTAACATTAATAATTATTAATCAACAATAAATTATTTGGACCCACTACGATAAATTTAATTTTTTTTGTGCATAAATTCTATTTTCCCCAATCTTAGCCACATTATATGCAAAAGTTTTAATCATGGTAAATTTTTTGCTGATTAAAGATCCCTCCAAGCCTTTTGAAATTCCTTTGATGATTGAAGAAATTATTAGTATACTTATTTCTAATTATACAAGTCTGATATATTACATCAAATTGTTCTAAATTTTAAAAAATATCTCTTAATTTTTACACATTTTTACAATTTGATCTAAATCTTTTTTTCTTTTGCCCTCCAGTTTTAAGGTTTTATCCTGATTAATCTGGATAGACCCGAGTCGCACACTTAGATTTGGTGGGTAAATCTTTAAGGGAGATTTTCTGCATACACGACAACTCGAACCTGAGACATTACTTAAACGATATCAAGTTGTTTATCGCTTGAACCAACCCCGTTGATAATTTGATACTAATCTTTAAAATTCCGAAGAAATTATATAAATTTCAAACAAAATGATAAAATTTTTGAAAATAAATTTTAAATTAAAAAATAAAAGAAAATTTCCTTTATAATCTCTTTCCTTTTTTCTCTCCGTACCTAATACTTTGTTGATTACACTTCTTTTTAGATAATTAACTCTCCAAATTCTTAACCAATCCTGTTATCTTTCTGTTTAAAACGAACGGTCAATAATAAAATAATTGATTAGGTAGTGACAATTTTCTTTTACTAATAATTAATGATAACTTTTTATAATACTTATAAAATCTAGAATAAAGTATATAAATGGTTCTCATTATAAAACGCTACTTTGTAGAATTTTTTTAACTATTTAAAAGTTATAAAATAATCCTCTATTATATGATGTTATTGGTTAAGTCATCCAACTATCAAAAGTTACAAAATGATCATCGATTATTCATACGTTCCAAACTCATAATTTTCATTGAAAATTTGATGATTGTCTAAGCTTGACGCTAACATAATGATTAGGATATGATAAAATTATATTTTAATAATATCTACTGAAACCATCGTTCATTTCAAAATATTAGCTCGACAATATAGTATTTAAAGTACTAACTTGATTACATAATGTATGCAAAGAGTTGATCTACAAAATACAACTTAAATGATTTTGAGATCAAATTTTATCATATCATAATCAATAGGTTAACGTCTAGCTCAGATGGTTGTCAATTTTGTTACAGAAAATGATGAGTTTAAAATATATGCAGTAGCAAATGCAGAGCATCCTCATGGGCACGTACCCACCTTGGAATTAGAATTTTTTTATATTAGATGTTCATTTTACTATGGATGTCCACCCTGAAATTTTACTAACGCTATACCATACGAAAAAATTCAATAATTAATATATGTGTACCCACCCTAAAAAATTTCTAGATCCTCAACTAAATATATGAGTAGTTAAATGATCATTTTATAATTTTTAAAAGTCAAGAGACTCAATAAAACATAACCTTATATTCAAAAAATCATTTTATAACTTTTAATAATCGAATACTCAATAAAATAAAGCCTTATAATAGAATAACATTTGTATACTTTTTCTGAAAATCTAAACGCAACCGCAAATGAACACAAAATAAAAATCAAACTTTCAAGTACTCCAAAAACTCATATTCTGAACAAATAATTTGAAAGATTTAAGATTATCTGAAGAAAAAAAAGACAAGGCCAGATTTTCTGGTAATATTTTACTGATTTTATTAAAAATAATAACAAAACCGATAATATTTTCCTTAGCTGTATTTTAAATTGTGTGAGACTTCCCAGGCCAGACTCAAGCCAAAACAGCTATATTCTTTTATGTTGAGCTGTCTACAATCCTTTTGTTTGACTAATTATTAAACAGTTATAAATATGATGAAAAAAGTAGGTTTAAATATAAGGGGAAATCAAAAGCTTCAAATTTTTTAATCTAAACTCTACTTTTAAGTATTTTTCCCAAAATTTCAAACTTTATCTAATTTGATAAAAATGATTGCCAACAAGCTCTTTAAAGGCCTCAAAAACAGAGAAAACAATCTGTTGGAGGAAAGAAATCATTATTGGCCTACAGCTACAAGTAGAGCCAACAAAAGTTAATTTGTCCACTTACATTAACTGAGGAATTCTTTTAGATATTTGTTGTAGTTTATTATGGCCTGGTCTACAGGCTGTAGTTGATTTTGATTTTTGTTATTATGCTTTCTAAAAGTTTAGGTGTTGGTTTCATGTTTTTCTGTGTGCTCTTCTATAACCTATTTAAAGAAGCTCTTGCTTATTGTATTGAAATACCTCTCAAA